GATTTGAAGACCAAGGAAGTAACTCAACTCTCCAGTCATGGACATCTCAAACTCATTACTCTTCACAAAAGTCTTGATTGGTTGATCAAAATATATTATCATCAACATAGATTTGCAACACAAAAAAGTAATTTACAATCTTCTTGGTGAAAAGAGTGGTGTCAACATTTCCCATCATGAATCCATTTGAGAGTACGCTACTACACTTGCACCTTTCACAGCCATGTCGTATCCACATCACAGTCCAATTTCGGTCTCGGTAGTAAGCTGTCGACAGTGATGGTCATAGCCTTCACCGTCGCCATTTGAGACCGACTGTGGTGTACACTAACACTGTCGATTGGATTATGATCCGTCCATGATTAGGTCCTTACTTTCATCGTATTGGAGCATGACCCGGCTGTGAATGTGCACTAACACCGCCGCATTGGCAAAAGATACGCCTGTGTCGAGGCTATCAAAACCGTCATGTGAGCACATCAACTGCCTGTGTAGTGGTCACCAGCACCGTCGCCTTATACTTCAACCTAACTATCAGCGGTGCGGGTTCACTACCGGTTCGACGGTCGAGACGCCTGTGTAGAGGTTAACACCACCATCGCTTCAGCGTATGATCCGCCAGTACAAAGGTCATGGTCAACATCGCCTTGCACCATGATCCGCCTTTGATGATCGTTTAGTCGATGTTGGGTTACTAAAGGATTCAGCGGTGATATACTTTTGATCCACGCCGCATCATACATATAGCGACGGTGACAGAATTTCATCCGGTTTCACAATAGTTACTAATTCAGTTAGGCCCTTAATACATGAACACAAAGCGTACAGATATATAATCATTACATCCATTAATCATGTTCACAAACAAGAGTACTTTTTACAATAACAATGGACGCTACCATAACATCTTTCTCAACTGATGTCCTAACACAAGCGGTACATAGAGTATACTAAAGGTAATGATCTATACAGACTTACATAATGAAACGACGTAGCTGTGCTCCTTCTATGTGGCACTCCTACTTGTAAGGCAAAATGAATATAATTAGTGCATCCTTCGGATTGGTGGCCAATGCACCATGGAACCCCTCTTATTCATCTCTAATCCACAACCTGAACAAAGCAGCAGAATTAATAATATTGAACATACCATTCCTTTAGTTAACAAGCCAAAATTGGCCTATACATAGATAGAATGAAAACAACTCCCCACCTGAACAAAGACTGTCGTGAAGACAAAATGCAGTAAATGCACCTTTACCGCTCTACTAAAGACTCCATGAACAAGAGAACATAAGGAAGGTAGCTAGGCATGTTCATATGGAAATGCCCTCTTGATCTACAAAAGTGGATGACACGGTCATGGATGACATGAACCTTTCCGCGGTCCATGTCATATGCAATCAATGTTCTATCCTTCCCAACAAGGAAAATGAAATTCCATTCTGGGTGAACTGTAATCACTCTATACTCCTCATCACAAAGCTCAGAACCAACTTTAATATTCATGCGTCCAAACAGTTCCTCCGTATCCACAACATGCTTCAAAATCTAGTTATCAGTACCATAGTCTTCAAGTTTCCACGCTAAAAGCCAAGACCTATTGCGAAAATCAGCACAGCACACACATAGGTGACCCTGAGCTTGATGGATGGACATTTCAACACCACCTGGTTTACAAATTGTCCTCTGTGTCTCTCCTCAATATCCACAGCAACTATCACAGAGTACTCAACCATGTGCATAAAACCATTAAGAAAAAGACTTCTCGATTTCGAACGTGAACAATACTACCCTCGCCCCATTCAGATTCCTTAAAGATCCATGCTGCAGTTTTAGATGAGTAGATCTCCACACCTACGCACGCACCCTCCACCTCAACAAATTCAATCACATGGAAGTGTGAGGACGTTAGGTGTCAAAACCTAAAAGAGCCTGACCAAAAGAACGGATGCTACGCGGCAGTACATGCCATTTGTGGGTCGCCGAATTGCAAACAACATAGCGACGTAATCCATCATGCCTAGCACACCAGCAAAGGACGAGTCCGCTGCAACAATCTGAGACTAGGACTTTTTTAAGGGGGAAGGGCAAGAAGGACAAGGAGAGTCGTTCACTGGTGATGCTGGTGAAGTGACGATTGCCCTTCAACTAGCTGCCATAAAAGAAGCCGACAACAGTCTGTGAAAAAGCTTCTTACGTTGATAGGAGTCAGAGATGTCGCGCCTCCAGGAGCACTAGACACGAGGAGATCAAGGGTGATACGCAAGAGATGGGAAACGGAGGAGTTATCTTCCTCTGTCCGAGTTTGTTTTCAGATATGCAATAGTTGCCGCATACGGCTTACAGCAGGTTTAATATTGGGTCTGGCCTATGGCCCACATGTAATAGAAACAAAGTATAGCATAGAATAAAATGACGTTTTCGCTATGATAGAAACGTAAAGCTTCTTGATGCCTTGTTCACTCCTCTGGTTCAGGTGTCCTGACACCACCATGAGCTGTTTCAGCACTTAAATAAAAAGGCATCCCTCCTCTGTACTAGTACTGGTACTAATGTTGAAGACCCCAAAAGCACTAGCACGGGTCAACAGATCCAGAGAGAGAGAGAGGCTGTTTGGTTGTGCAGCCAGGCAAGGTTGCCTGCCAGGTAGCAGCCCCCAGGCGCCTGATTTCGTCTGCTCGTGGCCAGGATGTGCAGCCAGGCAAGGTTGCCTGCCAGGTAGCAGCCCCCAGGCGCCTGATTTCGTCTGCTCGTGGCCAGGATGGCTTGCCTGGCAGGCTACCATCCAAACAGGCTCGAACACAACACACACACTCTCTGCTATCTTCCTTTCTCTCTGTGCTTCCATTCTCCTTCTGCTTCCATGTTATTCAATCTATCAACACCAGATCGACAACCATGGTTGGGGCTTCCCAAAGATTTCTAAACCAGAATCAATCTATATGGATTGTGGCTGCTATGTACTCCCTCCGTTCCAGAAAAAGTGACGTTCTATGATTTTTCAGACAAATTAGTGGAGGTGAGAAATATCCCTATTACCCTTAGTTTGTTGGAATTGATTCCCTTAAAAAAAGAGGATATGCTATGGTTTGCTTGCCTAATTAATAGGCCCTGCGTGCCAGCATGCAGCCTTCCGCTGGAGGCAACAAGTATAGGCGCGTATGCAGGTGGCGACTAAAATTTAGGAGGCGTCAAATAATGGTGTCGTATAGGTGTTCAGATATTAATAAAAAACAAATTACATAATCCGTCATGGTGATTTAAGCTAAAATTTTAGGAGGTGTCAAATAACGATTTGTCTCATAAATTAGTATAGGTTTAATATTCCATACATGTATTCAAATTAATAAAAAACATTAATTTGTCTGCACTAATGCTCTTAGGCCCAAAATTTGAAGACCAAATTCCCGTACACTTTTCCACTGGCGCCAATAAATTTTTTAAGCCTAATTAATCCGTCATTAGCAAGACGTGAACGGGAAGGAGAACCATTACCTGATCTCAATAATGCTCCAGATCAGGCCATGTTGTCAAATCATGTACTAATCTGTGCTTTAAAAGATTTGTCTCATAAATTACCAGGTGTACAGAACGCTGACCAAGATGGACAGCCACCTGTCAATTCCGTTTTCGACCTAATTATTTCCTATATTTAATATTCTATGCAACCCTGTGTACTCACCAAGAGTGTATTCAAATCATCCCAATGGTTCCTCAGACTTGGAGGACTATGGGGTGTAAAATTTATATACACTTCGATCTTGATGAGTTCTGACTCAAACACCCACTAATTTGGCGGCAACATTAATTTGTCTGCACTAATGCTCTTAGGTCCAAAATTTGAAGACCAAATTCCCGTACACTTTTCCACTGGCGCCAATAAATTTTGCTCTAGCGGCAATAGCTTTTTCAATCCACAGCAACCTATAAAGCAAGTCCAAGACCCACATGTAACCTTTAATTTTGCAGCTGTTCTCGACATCAAATTCATGGCCATAGATCTGAACCAAGTCCCAGAAGACGGGGAAAGAGAACCATTACCTGATCTCAATAATGCTCCAGATCAGGCCGATGATGAAGGTCAGGAAGATGAACATACTGCAGGTAGAGTTTTACGCTTTTTTTTTTTATCTATGACATTACCATTACCATCCCTTTTACCGGCATCGTTGCATGACTAAATCATACTGCATCCCATCTACCAGGTGTACAGAACGCTGACCAAGATGGACAGCCACCTGTCAATCAATCCGAACATCATTTCGACCTCAATATTAGTGCATTCCAGGAAGATGTACCTGCTCATGATGAACACGAAGGCATCAATCCAGGTAAGTCCAGTATGCAACCCCTGTGTACTCACCAAGAGTGTACCTTGACCTAGTTATATTACTGCTCATCCAAATAACTCACCAATAGTATTTGTTCCTCAGACTTGGAGGACTATGGGGTGTATGCTAATGGTATTGATGATATACACTTCGATCTTGATGAGTCCTCTGACTCGGATGACGAAGATTATGAGGTTGATGTCCAGTCATTGCGTCATAATTATTTGAAAGCGAACGAACGGCAACACATATATGAAGTTTAATGTTAGCAGCCACCGCTTGGATGTCCAGTTAATGCGTCATAATTATTTGAGCTAAGCAACCTAAGCAAGCCACCACTTGGGTGGCTAGAAAGTTTAATGTTAGCAGGCAGGTTGGGGGCGGCGGTGGGCTCCACCGAGGTGCCGTGCTCGGCAGCCATGGCGCCTAGGCAGAGCCAAGGAGCCCGTGCATCCTGCTGTGTGGGGGTTCGGACTGAGCCTTGGGCGAGTCGATTAGAATGAATGATTGTGTGGTAGGGAGAGGAACGTGACGCTGCCCTAGGCGTCCGATATTATACGGGAGCAATTCCGATTACGAATCAACATATAGATGTGTGTCACGTAATGAATTATTTGGCCTACAAGCTGCTTCCAACGATCTGAACATGATATGCCATTGCATCGATCACATGACGAAGTTTTGCAGCGCCCTGACGAAGGCGTCGACGTGCTCCTCCCTGACGCACAACGCCAACACGTTGGCCCCGTCCTTCCGGACACACGGCACGCACGCGACGCAGTTGGGCACCGCCGTCAGCTCCACGTGGCACATCACCCTCGCCGGCGTCCCGCCGCCCATGTCCGCCGCGTCGAAGCCGAGGTTCCGCCAGCTCGACACGTAGAACGCGTTGTACCCGAACAACACGTCTGCGAGCTGCTCTATCATCGTCTCCGTAGGCGCAGAATAATAATCTGCTTGCCGGTGCAGGCCACCGCCTTCTTCTCCGTTGGCGACGTTCTCGTCGTTCTTGATGAACTGGCCTGGTATCCCCTGCTTGGCGCGCTTGATGAGCTTCACGACGTCCTTGATGTCGCCGTTTGCTACCTCGCCACTCCGTGTCACGGTCACCGCCGACGTGACGCAGTTGCCGAAGTAGCCGTCCCTGGCGCCGACGTGCTTGCGAACGTTGGCTGCAAAGACGAGCGGCGCAGGGGCGTCGGTGTCGGACATGACCACGCGGGTGCGGCACTGCCACAACACGGCTACCACCGCCTCGTACACGGTGCATGGCTCGTCGTCGCGGTGCCCGGCGGCCGCGAACTCGGATCTGATACGGTCGACGAGTTTCCATGGAACCGTGATGTCCTGGTAGACCAACCCCTGTGGTTGGAGCGTGACCATCATCTTCTCTATGAAGGTGACCAGCGGCGGCAGCTCCGGGAGCGAGTCGTCGCCGCAGCTGACAGGGAGCACGGATGGCTGAGGGAGACCCCGTGCGAGGTCGCCGACGGCCTGTAGGAACTGCGCCATCCCCGTGCCGTCAGCAAGGGCATGGTTCCACATGGTCCCGACGACGTACCCGCCGCAGGAGAACTCCGTCACCTGCGCCAGCAGCAACGGGTCCGACTGGCGGCAGCTTTCCTCGGGGTAGACGACGGTGAGCTCCCTCAGCAGCTCAGAGAAAGGCGGGTCAAAGAGCTTGACGTCCTCCAGGGAGCAGTTGACCGACGCGGAGACGAATAGTACGCCCTCGCCGGTTCAAGATATGCGGAGCTCGCCGTCATCGGCCCCCACGAGAGCACGGCCGGCGACGGGGAAGTAGTGGACGAGAGCACGCGACAAGGCACTCCGCACGGTCTCCGCTGGCTCGTGGATCACGTGGTCGAACACAAGGAACGAGGTGAACGGCGAGAATGCGAGCGCCTTGTCGAAGGACGACAGTTTAATGTGCTCCACCGTTGGCGTCGCCGGCGAGGTCGCCGGTCCAACGACCACCGGCGAGGATTTGGTAACGATGGTGCTCATTAGCCCCGTCAACATATATACAGTAGTATTAGCTTTGTACTGCTATATACTAGTAGTTGATATAACCCTTCTTCCTGCCTTCCACACGCATCTCTGCCGCTCTTCGCAATTAATGTTGCACCGAACCTTTAGTTAAGTCTCCCTATCCTCTGGAATGTGCATGACATCATTTGATTTCGTGTTTTTTCTATTATAGGGTCTATTTAGATTTCAAAAAATTTTGTGAATCCTGCGGTTTTTCTATTAATTACATAGTTGGATGAGAAATCGTGAATGACACTAATTATCAAATACAAACGTCTACTTAAAATTCAAAAAATTTTGCTAAACAGTACTACAATGGCCGTCCTTGCACAGTTAGAGATTATCGCCACTAACGAGTAGGTGTGGATTAGGTCTACTAATATTTGGTCAATTGTTGCTCTGGCACTGGTGCAACACTCCCATACATGTAAGGATATGTTTAGATACAAGAGTTAATTGTTAGCTAACAAAAAATTAGCTAAAATTAGTCTTAGACCCTATTTGGCAAAGATCTAAGTGCTTTAGATCCACAAAAACAGTTTACATCTGAATCTTTTATCTAAACATCTTCGCTCTATAGATTCAAATAATTCAAAACTATTAATCTGGCCGGATCTACGGATTTCCTGGAGCAACACAAGGGTTGCTCCAAAAACTCATGGATTTGCTCAAATTACGCACCTGCCACTGTTTACACAGAAGAAAAAAAACGATTCGCAGATTCTATTCCATTCCTCACCCATATCCCACCGCGTAGAGCTTGCGGCTGCTGCATGCATGCTATCCCCACCACGGTTGTGCTAGCGGCCGGTGTGCCCTTCCCCTGGCATCGCCCTCCCCGGCGACCACCCCTACCACAAGGAACGAGGTGAACGAGGAGAATGCAAGAGCCTTGTCGAAGGACGAGAGTTTAATGCTCTACCATCGGCGTCGCCGGCAAGGTCGCCGGTCCAACAACCAATGATGAGGATTTGGTAACGATGGTGCTCATTTGCCCCGTGGACATATATATATATAACTATCATTAGTTAGTAACATATATATTGGACATATACCAGCTTGTATTGCCATATAGTTGGTATATGTAGCCCCTTTCACAAGCATGTCCTGCCTCTCTTTTTGTTAAGAAAAAGGAATTTTATTGCTCTCTGCAAGAGTTTTGTACACAACTAATTCTTATTATAAATCTAGCCTCTTGCTGTTTTTTAAGCTCTCAAAAAGCGAAACCAAACAAAGAGAAAATTGATTAAACGCTAAGCGCTAAGTGAAATGATCTAAACAATGCCTAGAGGGGGATGAATAGGCGTATCTAAAAATTTCTACGTAATCTCAAAGTCAAATGTCAGTAACAGTCGGAAGTCCTGACGGTTTGGCCCGTAATTTCTAGCAGCCGAAAGTTCTGACACAAACAGCCGGGGGTTCCGGTACTTACGAAAAATTCACTACAAGTGCTAAAATGAACTTTGAGTGCGAAATATCTTACAACCCCATTTTCAAGTGGTTAGGTAGACACGTAGGATCACTCTGTTGACCCCAAAATGCTCCCACTCCGTAGATCGAGTCCAAACCCTAAGAAGAGATTTGGGGAGGAAGAGAAACCAACAAAAACAAATATGATAGCACAAATCTCAACAACAACAACAAGCACGCGGTACACAAGGATTTATCCCGAGGTTTGGCAACCCCACAAAGGCGCTCATACGTCCTCGTTGTTGAGGTGACTACAAAGGTCGGAGTCTCTTCCACCTCCTTGCCTCTCTCAAAGCAACCACAAAGGTCACTCGAGCTTTCTACTAAGAAATCGAGGGTAATACAAACTTTCTAAGGATCTTCCACAACATGGAAGCTCTTGGGCGACGCCTAACTGGCTAGGAACAAAGCTCCAAGAGTAATAGATGCAAATCAAACCGGCATGACGAAGCAATCAAGTGCTCAAGCTTGCCAAAGTGATTCTTTCACTTAATCCACTCCCCTTTCACTCAAAACCCTAGGGGGATCGAAGATTGGAGTAAAGGGGAGAGGAGAGGGGCGCCTTGAATGCTTAGGAGCTATTTTAGACGAAGGTTGGTGAGCAATGAATGAGTGGGTAATGGTTAGAAGAGAGAAGAGAGCTATTTATACTCATAGGCAAAATCTAGCAGTTCAGATCTGCGTCGGAAGTTCCAACACATATCGCCAAAACTTTCGGCTCTACTGCGAACATTGTTCACGGCGCAGTCAACTGGGCTAGCTCGGTTATCGTCGAAACTTCCGGCTTCCGTCGGGACTTCCGAGAGACAAGCGAGCCAGGTACCTATGTCCTAAGGCGCCGGGACTTCCGGCGGAAGTCGGGACCTCCGACAGCCGGGAGTTCCAGCTATCGCAGGGACTTTCGACTACTAAAATTCCGCAAACTACATCTAAGTGTTCGTGAGGTCATTTTGTGTCTCTCTTTTGATTTTATTTTTATGCTTGACCACTCTATCTTCCTCAGACCACCAAAACTTGCATCCCTCTTTATAGTACGGCGCAACCTAAACTTAAAACAAAAGATAAAAACTTTGGACAGCGCTTTGAGTTCATCCGCCTTTTCAATTTCAAGAATTGAGGGATACCATTTTATGTTAGATCAACTCTTTAAAACTTTTATGGGACAAAATCTGTAATATATCTCATTAAGATCTCATTAGTCCCTAATTTGGATGTCATCAATACACCAAAACCCACATAGGGGGCAAATGCACTTTTAATCTCCCCCTTTTTGGTAATTGATGACAACCAACTTAGGCTTTTATAAGAATGAAAGAATTTAAAGCTTTTGAACCCCAAAATTTATGGAGAGCTCCCCCTTAATATATGCAATAAACTTGAATTTCAATGATGATCATTTATGCATCGTTTGCATATATCAAGACAAAAGCTCCCCTAAATCTTGCAATCCGTGGGGTGCAACAAGTGTGTGTGAGCAAGTATATATCCATGAAAAAGAGATGCAATATGACATGTTATATTCACATAACAAGTAAAAGAGAATGTGATGGCCAAGATCTCAAAGTAAAAACTTGAAGCAACACATGGCCATCCAAAATAACATCCACCATTCACAAGTAAAGACAAGCAAGATAATACTTGTCCAACAATCATCCATCACTAGCAAATATATACTTGTCCATCACATAGTTGCCACCACACAACATAGTTCATACAAGCTAAAAGTTTTAAAGTCTCACAAGCCAACTAACTTATTACATAGATAGATCAAAGCCTAACACCCCCCCTTTGTCAACAAGTGCCAAAAGGGGTAGGCCGCACGATAGAAACAACTACTCATCCTCGTAGTCCTCATCATCATCATGGTCACAATCATCACCACCATTGTTGTCATCATCATCATCATCTTGTTTGATGTACTCCTTGTCCTCAGCACCAGCTTATTGCTTGCCATGGTGACGGGGCTGATCGGACAACTCACCATAGTATTCCTTGCAAGCCTCATCATAGAGCTTGAAGGGATCACAAAGAGGCTCCAAGTCACGAGGTGGTGCAGAGTGAATATCAAGCTTCTGCTCAATCCGATGCATCCTCACAAGCAACTCTTGCTCACGCTCTGCTGCTAGCACAACAAGCTCTAAACATATACTTCATGAAGAACTTGAACTTGCTAGGGGTCTTACCACCGGAGGAAGAGGAGGACTGAGGCTCCTCACTATGAGCATGGCAAGCGCAAGAGCCATGTGATGGAGAAGCACATGAGGAGGAACCTGAAGCACCTTTGCCTTTTCCTTGTCCCTTAGCAGCCTCCTCTAACTCCCTCTTTGCTTGAAGGGAGAGCTTGTTGGAAAGTTTGAGCACTTTGTGAGGATTGTCTGTAGGGAAGTGAATGCTTGACACATGCTCAATGATATGCATGATATAGGGAGAATAGGGGTAGTGTTTCACCACATCCTCACTAGCATCAAAAATCTTTGTCCAAATGTACTGGCTAATGGAGAACTTGGTGAACTCATTGCCAAAGCAGTCAAGAACAACCTAGGAGTCATCACGAAGATGAGTAGTGTCACCGCGTTTGGGATACAAGATCTGGCGAAGAATGTTGTTGAGCACATAGTATTAGGGCTTCAACCAAACTGTTTGCCCATCAGCACGATGGCCACCCAAATACATGTACTAATACTCATCCATAGTGTCGACGAAATATGGTCGGCAGTCCACCGAGGGGGGTGCCCGTGGTGGTAGATTATCGGTAGGATGCATGTGATCAGGAACCAGATGGTGACACAAGGCGCAGAGACAGCGATTTAGACAGGTTCGGGCCGTCTGATCGACGTAATACCCTACGTCCTGTGTTTTTGGTGTATTGTATTGAGATGTATATTGTATGATCTGCTTGGATCTAGATGGATCTGTCCTCTAGGGGACCCTTGCCCCTCCTTATATACTCCGAAGGGACAAGGTTACAAGTAAAGTATCCTATTTGGTACTATTACAATGTCTTGCGGTGCACGCCAAGCAGCGCCGTGCACGCCTTGATCTCA